TTTTCTCAGAGGGTGTCAGAATTTAAAGAGACTTTTATGGATTTCTTAACACAATGCTTCACACTTCTACCTGCAGTGCCATTTTTGAATTTCTCGGTTGGTTTTTTGCTTCTGGTTAACTCTGTTTCGTTTTACCATTTCCATTCTTGATCTTTGCTTCTCGTTTTCTTTTTCGAAGTGCTACCTTTTTTCTTCATTTCTTACTGCTGACTGTGTATAATAATTCGATTTGGAGGTTTGTGAGAATCTGTTTATTAATTTCAGGTTGTCATTCACCAAGGACTGGCATCAGTTGGAGGAAGTTGAAAACCTTGGAGCTCTGGACAGCTGTTTTGTTCTAGTATGGGACTCCTCAGCAGCGGGTCGAGGGGGGGGGGCTTTTTATTCGTTAGTCTATTTCTTGTCTTTAAAACTAATTTTTAGCACTGAATTTTCTTTATCTTGGTGGGCTATAGGTTATAATACTGGTATATTTTTATTTTTAATCCATCACGCCTGATCTTTTTGTATCCATGTATATTTACCAAATCTTTTTCGACTGAAAATGTTTATATATCTGCTTAATCTCTACTCGCCCTCAGATTCAACTCGTGACATTTACACATGATTAAGGTTGGGCAGTTAGTTTTTGAAATGGATATCAAATGCATAGTTCCCAATACTTTTTTCTAAATTGAGAAATAAATGAGGATAATTGTGAAATTATTTGAAAATTGAAATTATTATGAAAACCTGAAAGCATGGGATAGCTGTTTCGTCTCAGTATGGGACTGCTCCTTCCGCATGCACCCACGCCCCGGTCAAGGATCAAAATCAGGACCTTCAGGTTTGACAGCGAATGCGTTAACCGTTCAGCCACTGGGCCACAGTTCAGTGGTTCACAGTTTCCAATTTCTGTCAGTTGACGATATAGCACTACTATCACCTAAGGTCTTCAGCTGGCATCCACCGTGAAACCTAAAGGTCCGCAGTTCGATCCGTATCCGTATCCGGGTCGAAGGTGAGTACTGCCGAACAGTTCCAAACTAGGATGAAACAGCTTTCCAGTGCCTCCAGGTTTTCCATGGTTCCCTAACTTATGTAAGTGCATTGTAAATACTACCCCTAAATCAAAATCCCCATTCATCTCAAAAATAAATTATTTTCTGTTTCTGACATCTGTTTCTATGCTGGGTTAGAGATATGCACGCGTTTTTGGGATTGTGAGTGATTGGTGCTGCACTTCCATAGCATTCTAATTTACAATTAGTTGTTTTCAGTGTGATATTGCTAAGCAGAGTACTACCTGGACAGTTTGAACGTAAGGTGAAAAAGAAAACGAAATAGGCATGCTACATTTTTGTTGTAGCTGATTAATCAACCGGACAGAATGGTGAAAACTGTACAATCATGCTATTACCTTTCCACTGCAAACTTTGTCAGTCGAATGAAGTTGAAGAATCACTTTTGCCGCAGTGTTAAAACAGTGATGATCTTTACTTCGCCAAGATAATATATGATCAGTAAATTCGTTTTATCTTGATTATGTGTTGTATTTCTTCATTTTCTCCCTAATTTCTTTCTTTTTCATACATTTAGTTCCCTTGACAAATATGCTTGCTTGGGGAAGCAAGTGCACAGAACGGGCAGAAAGAAAGGCGTCTACTCGATTTTATAAGCATATTTCTGGAAATCTGTGTCTGAATGGTAGCAACGGCTTTAAGAGCGCAACCTCCTGGCATCTGATGAAAATAGGACATCAAATAGATGTTTCTCAGTCATTCAGGGTAATCAACAAACAAAGAACATCATGTTTATTACGGTTTGCGGAAGCTCTCACTATCAAATATTTTCAACCCTACTCAGAGGGAGACTGTAATTCACCTTTCTTTACCTTGGTAACTGTGTATAGTTTTTGCATGTGTATATATATAGTCTTGCATCATCTCTTCATTAATTACTTACTGAATATTAATCACTTAACGATTTTCAAGTTTTTCATGTAACTACGTAACCTATTAGCTCTTAAACGGTCCCGTCTTTTACACTAGTTTTCTTTTATTGTTCCACCACTCCACAGCTCCAGGATTTTCCATCTCATTAGATATAAATAGCCATGGATTTTAACTAAGATTTGTAACTATTCATCCTGTGTTTTCTTGACTTACTATCTGATGGTTAATCCTGGATTTCAAATCTCTATTTATTTCTGCCTGTTTAAAGTATGTTATGTTGCTATTACTACTAATAATTCATTTCAGTTGTATTCTGTCTGCAGCTGATGCAAGGTGATGACATAAAATGAGCTCATTTGGTTCTGCGAATGTCTTTGTTCTTGCATTGTTCAAATACTTTCTTTTTCCGTTCCATTCATCCTCGTATTTTTATTGGTAAACTTTGATTACATTTGTTGTTCTGAACACTGTTGTGTTGTTATTTTGTTGTAGTTTATTCTCACTAATGTAGTGCAGTAATAGTATGGTAATTGCCGAATGTGACAAATGCAGCTTGACGGTAGTTGTAGATAATACGGATTACTTAGAAGTGGTCAATGAACATGCGGGATAGGATCATAGGAAGAAGTTAAAAAACGGATAGACACAGTTATGAATAAGATAATGAAGTGGTCTATTCGATAGCTAGCAATTTAATACTGGATGTGCGTTTCATCCTAGTTGAGTAATCCAACCCACTCCAGCAGCAGAAAATCACAAGTACCAATATAGATAAAAAAAAGTCCTCAACTGATCTAATACGCCGTATGATGTTATTTTTGTGTGATTCTCACTTATTTAATTTAATACCTAAAACTAATAATCCTAGTAGGATTTATGGTACTATTCAGGTTCATAAAACAAGTTATCCTATTAGGCCAGTAGTTAGTTGGCTTTAGAAACACACCAACACATGAGCCGGTCAAAATCTGGTTTCACCAATTCATTTAAAGTGAAACAGAGTGAATGATGTACAACTAGAGGAGGGGGAAAAGGTGACTGGTTTTTAAGTCATGGGCCTCTATACAAATATACCATCTATATAGCACTTGAAGCAGTCAAAAGTGAACTCACCACTGATCATGAACTCAATAAATGGAGCTTAAGTTTCTATTGAAAAAATTATGGTAGGGATAAGATTGTGTTTAACTCTCACGGTTTTAAAATTCCAAGACAAAATATGTCTAAGCAAACATAAAGAGTAGCGATTGCATCTCTGATATCTCCGATCGTAGCAGACATATTCATGGACAGTAGATTATTTTCGAAATTTCTCAGTGAATCCTTTTTTAGTGGTAAAAATTATTTCGTCTCCATATATCTGTTATGAGAAGCGTTGGATTTCATAATCTGCTTGAATTTCTGTTACTCTGCTTCTTCCTTTTCCAATTATTCTTTAAACTTTTCTATCCCTTGTTGCTTATATTTACGAAGGAGTTTGATAGTGGCTCATGCTCTAGTGGCCTAGTAGATAAGACTTCGGCGTTCGAAGCGATGGGTCCTAGGTTTGATTCTCAGTTGAAACAACCTCACTCACTGGGTTCCGTTAAAAGTAGAAAAAATGAAGGGATTACTGAGTTTCGATCACAGATGTCTTTGTAGCATTGCTTGCGTTTTGTGGAGTAGCCGCGTAAGCAATGTTTAGTTCAGGCGAAGGGTACTAGGCGAGACAGGCAAGTCGATTGATGAAGTTGTGAACCTTAGATGACTGAAACGGTTTGGACATGCACTGCGCATAACGAGCCACCACCTACCTCGACGTGTCATGCTAAAGGAAGCTGGATTATGTTGGCCAGAAAAAACCTGGCACGAGTCGATGAAGTGTCTTACTGTTGGTCTGAGTAATGTGTGAAGATGTAAACTGCCTGGTTGGAGTTTTCAAGGCGAAACGAATCAGTGGTTGAGGACTCTTGGTGAAATGGCTAAAAATCGGTCACAATGGCGTAGATGTATTTACTCTTCGACATCTTCTAAAGCTTGAATATTCGCCCTAATCGTTGTCTTCAGACTGTTTATTCACTCATACGACCTTGTCTAGTTTGATATCACTCCTTTTTTACCCATCTGTTCTTTGTGTACCACTGTGAAGTATGGTATTGAACTTGAACCGACGCTCTTGTGTGGGAGGTTTTACGTTGATTTTGTCTCAGTCAGTCAGTCAGAGGTGCACGTACATCCAGCTGACGAACCTTAAGAAAGAAGAAACGCACACTCTAGACTCCACTGCTGGCCATCAAATAGACTACGGAGTATTTATAAAATATACTGTTCGTTTTCAGTTGTAATATTGTATAATGCTTTCATGATAATCATGCATGCTACACGATGTCATATTTCATCAACACTTTCGCGCATGGAAATAACTTGTTGATAAACTACTTTATCAGTGGCCACTGACAGGTTGTATACAGCGAAAGTATAACTACTGTTTATGTTAAAACTCTCCACAGTTCTGAAAGGAAAACAAACCAAGTTATGAAAATAATTATCTAATCCCGTTCTGAGTGATTAGTTGGTACTTTTTTTGAAGACAACATATTCGTGTCAAGAAAGCTCAGAGTCAATCTAGGCGGTAAAACTAAATGAAAAAAATGTGCTCAAATAAACAATAAATAGTATACCGCGATATAACTCAGAAGAATTAACACTGAGTTTCAGGTGGCAGTTAATTATGAAAGAAAAGTAACCGTTGAGCCTGTTACAAGCAAAATTACTTAAAGATGATTAAAATACGAAATTTATTTGTAGACTATATGTCTTTAAGGATAAAAAAACGCAAAAATTTAGAGTACGTTTTTCTTCCTAAAAGTCTGTTTATATTTACTAGAATTCACTTAGTATTCAAGATTGATTGAATTTAGGTTGTTCCTTCTGATATTCTTTTATTTTATAGGCTAGTCAGAGTAGTGATTATCAAGATTTTTCCCATATAGATGAGAATGTCCATACTAGCTAACCAATCAAATCACTTAGAAATTAAAATCTTTGTTTAGATTTGTCAGCTAGAAGCGAAAGGTAGTTTTCATTATGATTGGTTGCTTCGAATTTTTAAAGCTATTACTAAATGATATGAGCTGGATTGCCTGATCATTGTGTAGAAATAGCCAACATTTCAATCAGACAAGATATAATATTTATAAAGCATGAACACTCATATATTTATACGTCAAATTACTTTCCTCATTATTTGTATTTTCCACAATGAATGCGCAGTTTTAGATACAAGTTCAATCAGAGATGAAATAGTAGAAACATTATTTGCCAATTACCAGAGTCATGTTCGGCCTGGAGAACTAATTCGTAATGCAACAGTGGTCACAGTTTATATATCTGTATCTGCTATAACATCTGTAGATGTGCGTAATATGGAATACACTATTGATATGCTACTTCGTCAAGCATGGTATGATCCCAGGTTAGCATGGGACCGAATCGACAAATTTAAACATTATACTAAAAACATTGTTTCACCAGTTTTTAAAGAAAAAATTTGGTTGCCAGATTTGTTCTTTCGAAATGGAAAAGAAGGTAGATTGCATAAAATGACTTGTGAGAACTTGTTAATTCGCATACAACCCAACGGTGAAATACTATATAGTCAAAAGATTACTATGCGTATGGCTTGTCAAATGGAATTACGGACATTCCCAATGGATACTCAGGAGTGTGATATGAATATTGGTAGCTACGGATATACACTAGAACAAGTGAGTTTCGTGTGGAGAAACGTGTCACCTGTAACTTTGCCAGAAAATTTACAAATATCAGAATTCGACCCACCAGAAGTGGTGAGAGCATATGACTGCACAAGTGGGTATTCTACATCAACTGGGCAATACACATGTTTGAATGCAACATTTACACTACAACGTCAGTTGGGCTATTGGCTGGCAAGCACTTACATACCTAATATTCTCATAATGGTTGTTTCATGGCTAAACTTCTGGGTTAGCTTGGATGCAATTCCAGCAAGAGTTAACTTGAGTTTGCTTACACTTCTTGGTGTGATAACTCAGTCGACTAGCTATGCAAGTTCCCTTCCCAGAGTATCGTATATCAAAGCTATTGATATTTGGACAATTGCATGTATAACTTTTAATTCTGGCGTTTTACTCGAATTCGCAATAGCTTCTCATCTTGCACGACGTCAGAAAGTTTCTGAATGGCAGGTGGAAGTTAGAAAGTTAGTTAGACGGGAGCTAGCAAGGTGGTGCTCAGCTTGTCAAATTCAGTATGCACAGAGAGGACCATCTGCACTCTCAGCTTACTCAGCTTCGAGTAGATCAAATGATAAAGTCGCTGACTACATAAATTCAGTATCCACTGCTGCATTTGCCATTCAAAATAGCCCCATACTCGAAAGAACAAGCCCTCAAATGTCTGTTCGTTTAACGAAGTCAGGTTTAATGTCATCCGCAAGTATGAAGTCAGAAAGATCAGAAAAAGTTTCCCGAGGCACATTTTACGAATTAGTTGCTAATGACTCGGCGCTTTCTGCTTTAGATACAACACAAAAAGACGCCCTTCTTCCATCAAGTGAACCGCCACGAATCAAGAAAACAGCATCTATGTCTAAAATCGACAGTTATAGTCGGTTTCTTTTCCCGGCATGCTTCCTACTGTATAACTGCTTTTATTGGTTGTATTATTTGGTGATTGTTAAGCAAAAATAACAATGAAACGAAGGTAACATAATACTATTATCAATGAATATTATCTCCGAAGTTATTCCAGACCTCATCACTGATTGATTAGGTATTTTGATATGTTGATAAAAGTGATGAATTTGATTGAATCCCTGAACAAACGCATCGCTCAACTATTAGCATACTTAGGCAATAAAAGAAAGGTAGCCTAGAATTTTCATTTTCAAAGTTCCACTCAATGTTAATCTGCATGGAGTTTCCTTAACATAGAAGGATTGATTTATAAACAATATACATTATTATGAGACATTTATTTATCATTGTGTTTAATTTCCAATGCCATGAACTATTAGATTATTCTTGTATTTTCTATAGTAGCTGTGATAACAGTAGTATGGATAATAATAATAATAACACGGAAGTGTGCACAGTACTTGTTGGTTTATTTGCCCTTGATTGGTTTTTCTCACCCTATTTTTAGTTTACATTTCCTTTTCAATAACTATTCAAAATATTTTATTAAACTCAGTAGTATCGTGTGTGGTGTTTATGGTCACTACCTTTTATCAAATCATCAATCTATTCTCCTTTCATAATCATTTCATCATTAGCTAGATGAGTATTCTTTTAAAGCCAAATGCAAATGTCACTTGATACTAGGGTGCTTACGCATTCGAACAAACTTTGAGCTACTTAAGTCGTCTGAGAAGTGTTGTTTCGTTTGCAATTATAAATTACCAGTGTAAACTCTATATTTTATTACTTAGTCACCTGGTGTATCATAGTGACAAACATGCAGAACAACCATCAATATAATATGCACATTTTGATAGCAGTTTTCATATAATCCCTTCCTCTAGGAAATCCGGTGGAACTGCGCTAGGGAAGAAGACAATGTGCATAGTTAAAAAATCATTGACACGGTCAGTATAGATAATACAGGAAAAAGAGGTTACTTCATAAAATATGCGTACAATGATGTTATACATATGAAATGAAGGGATAACTGTTTTACAGTCGAATTAAGTTGACATAAGGTGGTCCAGTGAATCCGTTTCTCTTTTGTCATTGTCAGTGTTAACTAGGTATTTCTCTATACGGTAAATAAATGTAAGTATGCCTCATAGAATTTTAGTAGTCCTTCTTTAACTTCATTTACTGGGATGAAGATGAGCATACAGGGTAACAAATATATGGTAACCTATTCTAGACTGAGAAATTCTTTCTGCTGAATGTGTCGCATCAGACAATTTGTAAAGGTGGGAACGCATCCGAACATATGTGTGTAGACTAACAAGACGTTCTAGTAGAGCCGGATTCGTTTCATATACCAACTGAGCTAAGGAACAGCCCGATTCCTACTTAATGGTTGAGTGAGTACCAGAGAATGGTAGCAACAGGAATTCATTCCATCTTGAGTTATAGCTTCTCTTTACCAATTAACCTTTTAGCTGCCTCTGAAATCTTCCCACCATGCTATTTGTTACTGTATGACTACTTTCGAAAGTAGTGTGATTACACTGATATGATTATGAGCAATAACTTATGCTCGTAACATCATCAAGTAAATAATACTGTACCACTGTGTGTTATAAATCAAGTAAACAAATCTGATATGGAATTAAATCCTACCACAGTGCCTAAGTTTTACACCTATATTGACAAGAAATGGTGTCAATGTAATGGACACTATGTGGTTCTTGAAAAGAGGTTGACTGAAATTGTGATACTTACAGGAGTCGAGGAAGGTACCTCGAAATTGAATATGCAACGGTTTTAAAAAACAATGTGCTGTCCTAAGAAATTCCGCTTTGAAGACAAGCAATCACCCATCTCGTAACTTGAGCAGTCACGACCAGCCTTTTGATGTTGAGGATGGTCCTATGATATCTGAATGCCAGTTATGGGATAATTAATTGAGTAAGTCAAACATTTGTTGAGTTGTGTTGCATGTCTACATACTTCGTTACGAGAGTACAGACAGTTATGCGTTCATATCCTGATGTCAGAATTCATCACTTCTCACCAAAATGGTTCCATGATAAGCTTAACGAGAGCTCGAATTCAGAATGTATTAAAATGCCCAGATGCTGGATTAGTAGTTGTCACCGGTTAAAGGCATTTTAAGATAACTCACACCAGTTCTCTAATGAGTTAAGGTCAGCGGATTGCAACTTGATTGCGAGATACAGCTCACTTTTGTAGTATACTTCTGAACTAATATCATTTCTAGGTAAGGAGTCTGAAAAGATGTTTGTAATGTCTTTCATGAACTGAATATCCGAGTAAAACTGGGAAATTTGTTTGACCTTCTCTAAGAGACCATCTGCCAAATGAGTTAGGAGATACATCATGTGATAGTCTGTAATCGATAAAGTTGTGTAGTTGGCTGGTAGTTGTTGTGGATGCTCATAAATATACTGATCTATTATTGTAGTTTTATGAGTCAAACAGTGTAGGTTGTCTATAATCTAGCAGTTCCATTTTATAATTTTCGGATGCTACTCAATTACGTATTCGAACATTTGATTTTCTGGTCTTTCTATGCATGGATATGATACTCATAAGTGAAACCCTTAACCTTAAAGTGTGTGCTCGCACCTACGAGATTTTGATGCTGATATAGACAAGGGAGTTGGAAGTACTCAAGCATATGCATGTTACATGGCATGAATCACATCAACAAGAATGAAGATCTGGAGGTAATTACAAGTTTAGTTGTTGACCTTCAAAATTTAGCATGAGGTTTTCGTTTGAAGTGTCAATGGATAATTTTCCCGTTTCTTGAGCATTTGTCTAAAAATTGAAGACAGCGATACAGTGGATTCTGTTCAGATATCAACTTATTACTACAAACCTCTATTCTTATCCATCAAAGAGAAGTGCTCATAGAATTTTCCAGTAACAGCTGCTGCCATTACTACATGACTGTAAAATTTTCCTTCACCAGTGATGCTTTACTGCCAAAATATATGACATTGTGCCTAGTTTCGGTAATGTAATCGAACTGCCTTTAAAATCAGCTAATTTTCGAGAGATATTTGGTGTAAAGTAGTACTTTCTATGGTGTGGACACATATTAATTGCATATAGACTTCAGGTGATGATGACAGTTGTTATTTGGCTAGAGGAAACTGGCAGGAAGCCCTGGACCTAGGTTTCGAGCCTTTGTTGGCACTCGTCAGCAAGGCGTATCTGCAACCTCGGTGCTACAGATGTCCCGTCTGAGATCCGAACCCGTGTCACCCAGTGTTGTAGTCAGCGACCTTACCACTAGGATATTCGAGCTGCGACTGACCACCTGTAGGGCTGGGTTAAATACACTGATTCTTCACGGGAGAGCAGCCACGTTCATGTTGTCAAGTCCTAAGTACAGATCGAATTCTATCGATCATATTTGCAATGTGGCCACCAGGCTAGGAGGCGCAGCATCGTGGTGCACATTGTTAGATATAAGTTGGTTGGAGGCTGAAGAGTGCCAGAAAGCATAAAACTTAGTTCCAGAGCTTCCTGTCAATTGCCTGCAACCAACTAATATCTAACAATGTGCACCACGATGCTGAGCCTCCTAGCTTGGTGGCCACATTGCAAATATGATCGATAGAATTCGATATGTATTCAGGGCTTGACAAAATGAACTTGGCTGCTCTCCCGTGACCAATAAATTTGGTGAGGACATACTTTGAATATACTAGTCAGCAAGTTTTAAAATGAGTATGTCAAATCAACTGAGGATAAATTTAACCTAAATAAGGCTAACGTGTTTGTAGAACAGTGTCCAAGGGTGGTCTGTATTATTGGTGTTTTAAAGGTACATGCCAGAAAATTAACAAAACAAAAACTCATTATTTCTGTTTGACATATCACCTCAATCTTCCAATTCAATGTTTTTCGATAACATGCATTGTATTTTTGGGACGTTATATATCAGTCATTGTAACTACATTTACTTGAAGACAACTTCATTGACTTTATGTGGTCCGACGAGCTATCGAAGATGTCAACTTAGTCTTCCCCATTGTTTGAAACCAGCCGGAGAACTACTGGGAACTTAGTAGCTCTAAACAGATGTTTCACCCCAGATTAGGACTCTCCAGCAATGCACATATACTTCCTGGTAAGGAATCAAATAGCATGTTATAATGGTATCATTCTACCTCTTGGTTGGAATTCGAAAGTTTAAATTTTCATAATTCTGTTTATTCAATATATAATGCCACCAGGATTCAATGATACCAATAAGTATTTGTCTTTACACGCAACTTGGTTGAGACCTGATGCTCCTGAGCTAGATTACGCAGGATACTTACAATGGGCAATGCCAAACAGCCATAAACTAGGATAACGCAGAAATCCAGTACTTCCGCTTTTTCAATAACTGTCCAAATGGTGTCACTATGTAGTGAGTATAACTATGAAAGCAGCTTGTTCCCACTTTCCTACTGAACCATGGTTTACTTTGCAAGGTTTTCTATTGGCAAGCTTGCAAGCATTCTGTAGATGCTTGGTTCAAAGATGTCAGGGTTTTTTAGATGCAACTTCCAGCTTCTCATATTCTACTTCTTCGAGAACCTGGTCTATTAGGTAGCCAACATCAGATATAATCTCAATCATTAAGATACTGACAAAGTATAAGTATTTAAACAACTGAGAACACATGCCCGAATCCATGCAGAGAGGCTCTGTTAAAGTAAACCATATATTCAACTAACTGAAACCGCAAGAAGAGAGATATGGGTAAGAAATATGAGGTTGGTTGGTCGACCGACTCACATCATCGACTGCGTCACCCAGCGACGTAAAATTTCAGGAGCTTATTGTTGCCTGGTTGTTAAAAAAAACCCAGATAATATATGAAATAGAATCAAGTTACAATTACCTCAGTTTACTTGAATCGCCTAGCCTCCGGGCCTTTTGAAACAGTAGAATGGATATGAAAATAAATCGACATAGATTTATAGTGTGACTGATGCTGCAATATCTCAACAATGTGATCTTCACCATAGATATTTTGTCCATCCGGTATGAAAAATATCATCGTTAATTCCTCTAAACATCCACAACCTATTAGGCCACACTACAATGCTTCTACAGATCGAAATGCATGTGTCACGAGTTTACGTCAGCAAAATGATCAACGAATATAAATCTTTGCTGTTACATACATTATTTCCTTTATGACTGCATTTCAAACTCATGTTTGATCATACAGGAGATCTTATCAATTTCATGTTTAGAAATGAACTAAGTCACCAAGCCGTTATAAGTAAATGTGTTCCATGAATCAAAATCAAATTTGGTGACCATGGGACGTTTAAAGTAGGAATCACTTCTATAAATATTTCATGAATTACTATGAAATTATTCAACACAAACCTGATGTGTTTGTAAAGTCAAAGTAAGATTTTTCTGAAAATTTTACTGTGTAAAACACAGCTTCAGCAGTGTCCATCAGATGCCTACAAGAAACGAAAATATACGATCAAGTTATTATTATTATTCCCTTAGGTTCCTAGAGGAACATGAGTCTTCAGTAGATAGTCTCCATTCCACTTTGTTCCTTGCAATCTTATGAAACAGCCACAACGACTGCACAGAAGAACTCATTTCCTCTATACACGATATACTCCATGTCACCCTCATACGCCAACTCGACGTTTCCCATCTGGGTTCCACTCGAGGGCCTGACCTGAGGCGTTATGTCCCCGAATGGTTTTCTCAGTGTATGCCTAATCCATCTCCACTTTATTCTGCATATTTGTTGAACAATGGGTTCTTGGTTGGTTAGTTGCCAGTCACAGGTCTTTGTTGCTTATTCTTTCTGGCCT